TTCAGTAAAAGGAAAACAACTACTGATCCTCACAACCACGTGGACAGATCTCAAAACTAGGGTCCTGAGTAAAAAAAGCCAACACACAACAGGTTGCATGAATATTGTATGATTCCACAGGTGTAGAACTCCAGAAAATGCATGATAGTGCCTAAGTATGGGGGTTCAGGAGAGGGGATTGTTGGGGACATGAAGAGTCTTTTGAAGGATAACAGTTATATGTCAAAACTTATCAAATTGTGTGACTTTAAATATGTACATCCAATCTATAGTATATCAATTATACCTCAATAAAGATGCACACATAGGTAACTGAATAAACTGAAACAAAAAGCAGGTATAAGTTGCCATAACTATGGATCTAAGAGCGAGTGTATTTTTCTGACTTACTGTGCTTAACAGGTCCTTTTCATTCTACAAATTAAAGTGTTCCTTCACTCTGTGTAAATTTCTTTTTATTCTTTCCTTCCTGCTTTTTTCTCTGCTCCTTTTCAGAGACTATTATCCAAGATGTTCCACCTCTTGTATAGCTCTCTTTGGTTGTTACTTATTCTCTCATGTTTTATATCTCTTTCTCTTTTTCGTCATATAATTTTCTAGCTTTTCTTTGGGATTTGTAACTTCAGCAAGTATTTGTCTATGCACTGAGTGACTCTTTCTTCCAATTTTCCCTGTACACAGCATCCTCTTATTGTCCATAGTGGCACCGCCACAATACACTATAATCCCAATCTCGCTGAATATGCTATTTGGATTTTCTTAACTTCTCAGCTGCTTTTCTCAGTTTTTTTAAAAATTAGCTCTTTTAGTCTTCCAGGGTTCTCATAAACCTGGTGATCCTAGGCTTCTTGTCCACACTTATGAATGAAGAAGTAGGCAGTGACACATGACACACAAGATCCATCACCTCTGCCCTTTCGTACAAGTACTTTCCCTCAGAACAGGCGTCTTTCCTCTGACTCAGTCTGACTCATGACTGGGTCTATCTGGCAGGGCCCCTCAACTCACAAACCATCCAAACAGGGGTTCTTTTCTCCCAATGTCTAGGCCCATTTGAAACTTGAGCTTACCCCAGATAGACCCTTCACTTATTTTAGGGAAAGGCTGTTTGTCTTGGCCTTATCCACTCTGGCTTCTTTGCCTACTAGAATCATCGCATCTGGTGGATGTTGTTAAAAATGACCAAAGTACAGTAGACCCTTGAGTTATGACTGGCCTGACATACAAACAACTTGGGTTACAACCGGAATTTTAGTTTTAACTTATGACCAAAGGCTTCAGTTATGACTTGAATGTCAGCCCTTTGTGCTTCCAGATGGTCTCAGATAGAGATTCAACCCTTAAAGAGTTCTGGAAGGCACATTACAACATCCTTTTCCTGTATGGGGAAATCCTGGGCCAGTGTGTCTGTAAGGACACTGAGATCTTCCTGGAAGAAAGTGTGGCCTAAAATTACACAGGAGAGATTTTGAAGGCAATTGACCAACATTACTTACAAGCCCCAGGGAACAAATTGAATTTGTAAGTCAAAGGTCCACTGTATGTAGGTTTAGTGACAAAGGCAGATCAGCACTGGTTAGAGAGAAGGAGAAGATGAAGGGGAAATCTTTCTTCAATTTTTAAAATGTCTTTAATGATGTCATTTACTTGTTTGATTTGGGAATATTCAAAACATATGAATAGGTATACAATGCAAAGTGTCCCCCTACCCCTTCATTTTCTAGATGGTTAACTCCCTCTCTAGAGGAATCACTGCTGCTAGTTTAGATGTTTTCCTCCAAAATGATTCTATGCCTAAACAAAAATATAAATATAGTATCTAGTGTGCATGTGTATGTCTGCACACTTTGCAAAGAATATACAATCTGTTATGCCACACGTGTTTTTGTAATCTAATTTCTGCCATTGCTCTTCTAATAGACCCCTCCCCTGTGAGGAAATTTGGATTACAAAAGCCACATTGGTGCATATGTTATTTTCCCCTGGTATTGTGTTGTATCCCACCGCAAAACTGCAAACCAATGCGCTCACCGTTCAGTGCTTACCATTAGGTGGTGGCCTCAGACTAGATGTGACTCCCACTTCCTCTCCTGGGCAGTCTTGGGCATTGAAGAGTTGTTCCAGGATTCCAGGATGTTTGTGCATTTTGCATTTGTCTGCATAACTCAGTAGACTTTTATTTTTAACAGTGAAGAGACATTTTATTATGTTTTCCCTATGTCTATACAGAATTGACTTTTTAGTGTGCTAAAATTTTTTATTAAGATCGTTTTTGCTTCTGTTAACCCTCTTCACAAAGCAGCACAGATTTTTAAAAATAAATTCCAACCTGGACTTCTTTGTAACTCTGTTAAGTTTAACGTGATATTTGAAGGACTAGAAAAATGTTCAGCAATCCATATATTATAGTAGAAATTTCTGTACTGTTCTAAACCATCTCAGGCTTCAAAATAAATAGTAGCATGTTACATATACTGCTCTGTGCTTTGCTTCTATTTTTGAACAAGAAGATAAGTACAGAAGCCCCCTTTGTTCTTTCTAAAGCCTCACAGTGCAAGTGGAGACAGGGAAATGAGAACTAGGTTTCTGATTCAGTTCTGCGTCTCTGGTATTGCACTCAGGTTTTCAAGATTTCAGAGGCCCCCAGAACCAGTATTCCACCTGGTCTTTGCCTGCAGAGTACATTTACAGTCTATATATACAACTGCCAAAGTTGAGGAACAGAACCCTCGCTTCACATGAGTGCCCTCCCCATCTGAATCCCTCCCACTCCCCTGTCCACAGGTGATGGCATTTCCTGGTAGTCCAGGCTGTCAAGTACATTGTGGAGAGCGAAGGGTTGAAACAACCTTGAAAGACCTCTGAGCCTCTTGAGAGTATAATGAACCCTGGATATGAAACTGGCACGAAAACAAGGATGTTGACTTGTAAAGAGAGTAGTAAAAATAGAAAGAATCTGAATGTCTGCAAAGCAAAGAAATAACATCCCCGGAATAGTAAAGATACACTTGACCTTTTCTCTGTAAACTAATTAGTCACCTGATCGTGTGGTGAGGAGGGGAGGGGAACTGTGGAAAGGGTATAAAAGGGTCAATAAAGTGGGAAGAGAGGGCTCTCCTCCTCTCTCCTTTTTCTTTTCCTTTGAGTCAGTGTTTTTCTTTCTTAATCCTCACCCCTCTGCTCGGGTACTGTTTGACTAGTGACGGCTGGTTCCGTCAGTACATCTAGAGTCACCCCAGAAACAGCACCCTGAACAGGAGGAGGCTTTGTGTGCAATCCCTTAGCACCAGGACCTAGAGATTCTGGAGGGAACCAAATAAATGCCAGTTATGTATTGTAGTATCTCAGCCTATTAGGAATTCATTCAATGGCAAGCAGTGCAAGCAAAAGTTTATTTAATGATTATGTACTACAAGGATCAAGAGTCAGTCTGGCTTCAGGTACTGCTGAATTCAGGGTTCAAGCAGCAGCATGGCGGGGGGTGGGGGTTCTCACTTCTACAATCAGACTTCAACAGATGTCTCCATTCTCCAGCTCCTGTGAATGTCCATGGGGACAATAAAGCTGTAAGAGTTCCTGCTTTATAGCTTTCCAGGTTCAAGTCCAGCAGAAAAAGAGCTGTTTCTGGTAATATAATCCAGAGGCCCTAGATTTACTCTGATGTGACCAACTAGGTTCATGTGTCCACCTCTTAAACAATCACCACACAGGGGAAATGATCAACAGTTTGAGGTAAGTTGGGTCACATGCATTTTTCAAGGCTTTTTGGCTACTAAATTGCTAGAAAAATTCTTGGGTTTGATTTGTTTTTATTAATTAAGTATTATTATGTTCAGATGTTTTAGGCTCCAGAGCTCCTTACTTTCAGATACAAAAGTCTGAATCTCTCTTGAAGACACCAAGCCTGGTAACTTGATTTCTCTTTCTTTGCCATCTTCTCTTTTAATTCTGATAGGTGAGGAGCAAGACAGAGAAATGTTAAGCCTGGTGTTTCTGAAACTTTATCTGGGGAATGAGTGATTGTTGTAGTCTGTTTTGTGTTGCTATAACAAAATGACCACCTCTTTACTTTATAAAGTAAAGAGATTTATTTAGCTCATGGTTCTAGAGTTTCGAGGCCATGGTGCTAGCAACTATTTGGTTTTGTTGAGAACCTCATGGCAGGAACATATACAGAGAAGTCACAGGAAGCAAGAGAAATCTGAGGGAGGTACCAGACTCACTTGTAACCCCAAAAGGAAGTGTAGGAAGGGAGAATGTGCTCCATTAACCCTTTGTATGAAGGTGGAGCCCTATGACCTGATTACCTTTCACAGTGTCTCTATCATAAAGGTTCTACCAGCTCTTAACATCATCACACTGGGGTTGGAGCTTCTGGTGCATGAGCCTTTGGGGAGGCAAACCATGTCCAATCCATAGTAGACACAAAAATCAAAAGCATGGGGAACAAAAGAGGAAAACCAGATAGTTGGGACTTTGTCAGCATTTAAAAGTTTTGTGCATCAATGAACAATGTTAACAGTAAAATGTCAACCCAAGAATGAGAGAAAATATTTGCAAATCACATATGTCATAACCATTTGATATCCAAACATGGACTCCCACAACTCAGCAACAAAGCTTAAATGGTCCTGAGTTTGGATAAACATTCCCCAAAGAATATATATATGAATTGCCATTAAGCACATGAAAAGATGTTCAACATCATGAATCACTAGGGAAATTCAATTCAAAACTACAACGATTTACCACTCCACACATTAGGTTGTCTAGTAACAACAAACAAAATACACACAAATAAACCAAAGAATAGCAAATAACAAGTAATGGCAAGGATGTGGAGAAGACAGAACCCTTTTGAACTGCTAGGGAGGCTGAAATGATGGGGGTACTGTGGAGAACAGCACAAGGGTTCCTCAAAAACTCAAATATGGAATTACCACATGGTTCTGCAGTCCCACCTGTGAGCATGTGCCCAAAAGAAGGGACTCAAGCCGATATTTACACATCAGTGCTCATAGCAGCTTTATTTATAATATCCAGAAAGTAGAAACATCCAAGTGTCCAACAGCAGAAGAATGGCTGAACAAAATATGGTACGCACATACAATGGAATATTATTCATACTTGAAAATGAATGAAATTCTGATATATTCTGCAAGGATAAACCTTGAAAACATTACGCTAAGTTAAATAAACCAATCATAAAATGACAAATAGTCTATGATTCCACTTCTATAAGTTGCCTACAATAGTAAAATTCATAAAGAAAGTAGAATAATAGTTATTCAAACACTAGAGAGAGAAGGAAATAAGCTATTGTCTCATGTAGACAGTTTGGGATAATACAAATTCTGGTAAGGAATTATGGTCATGGTTGCACAACAATTTGAATGTATTTAATAATAAAAATTTAAAATATAAATACAGCATCATTAGTGAAAGTTGGTAGAAAACTGCAAAGATTTCAAAATTTGGTATTTTTCCTATAGAAAATAAAATAAAGAATGTTGTAAGTTTAAACCATTTAAAGATACAGATTATCACTGATATGATTCAAGGGTAAGATAACATCAAAAAACAAATATTTGAAAAAGAAGGATATATGATATCTAAAAATTTTTAAATGGAATTTAAGTTTAATAGAATGTTTAAATGCATATTATACATAACTAAGGTAAAAATTAGCAAACTCAGAAAATAATTATGAAGAATCGAATCAGAATATAACAAAGAGAAATAAGGAGATGAAAAATGAAAATAAATGACAGAATTTAGACTTGCATATACTGTACAGTGAAGCTGTCTTGAGCCAGGGATAAAAGAGGGAGAGGAAACATTAAACAACGAGGCAACGGGGACTGGAGAATGGAGTTGAATGAGATGAAACCTGCACATTCCCCTAGATGCACCCAGTGCCAATGAGCAATTATGTCTTCTTCCTGTAACCAGACACAAGAGGACTAGCAGACTGGTGATGGCGAAGCCAATAAGCACAACCAGGAAATTAAAAGTGGAGACAGATTTGTTAGTTACAGCAACTAAGGAGAGCACTGGAGCTAATTCTCAAAGCAGGGTCTCCCTGAACAAAGAAGGATCTGTTATTGAGGACACTTATACATATTCAGATAGGAAAACTCATCAACGCATATAAAGGCCGCATGTATATTCCTAAGCATGCTCAGATAGAAGTCATATGGCACTTGTCAAAAAACATGGCAAATTTAAGCATGCTGGGTAGAGAATTTAGTATTACATTAGTCAAAGTTTCCTGTAGGCCACCTGAAAAGAATGAAACAGTGATTCCAAAGTTTTGGCTAATTTCTTGTTTCTCTGAAAAGCTTGTCTAAGAGAAAGCGGGAGGGAGAGAGAGAGAGAGAGGTGATGTAAAGGCATAGCAAATTTTTGCCCCATAAGTAAAGGAGGTTGCCCCCAAAAGTGCCTCTTTAGCAGCTAACATTCCTAGTTCAGATGGGAATCGTTTTAGTAAAAGTTACAGTTTTCCTAAAACTTAGTTGCAGTTTTTCTGCAAGCATTTCTTTGGATCTGAAGTTCTGGAATCTTCTCTGCAGAGTAGGAGGCAATGGGGCTTTACCCCATCACCCAGAAACATCTGTAAAGACAATGCTGGGGCCTTGTAGGGGTATGAAACAGTTAATATATATACATATATATTCCTGCTACAAGAAAGCCCTCCCTTTCCCAACAGTTCATATTTCTCTCTTTTTGGTATCCTGCATACCTTTCCAGGAATTTTCCTGATTGACCCAAGCAGGTAAGATGAGGAGGGCAGAGAAATTCCCAAGTGCTTCCCAGACTAAGCAACAGGAACCGACATGCTCACCACTCATAGTGTATAAATAAAGACCACAAACATCAGCTGCACTGAGATTGAGCAAGACTGCATTTTTAAAATGAACAGGATTGAGCCTAGAACACCAAATGGGAGTCCATTCAGTGAGTCATTACAGAATCTAGAATCTGGTCCTGATGTTAGGGGAACCCGAGATCTAGTGGGGAAATGGTAAGTTAACAGCGCAGAGTTAAAAGCAGTGATTAGGGGGAAAAACCCATTTCCTGTTTATGCTCAGAATGGTTTTAAACGCTTAGATAAATACATTATTCATAAACAGGATGGTGATTATTTGCCAGAAGGGCCATGAAGTCATTTCCATCTGTGGATATACAGACTCACCACCAAGATGGAGTTGCGCAAAAAAGTCAAATAGTTGGCTTTGTGAAGTAAACAGAAGCGAGGGGGTTGGCAACATCTGGTGATGAAAAAGAGAGAGATTCAGAAGTTTCTAGGCTATTCACAAGGCAGGAGGGCAAGGTAGACAGACACAGAAGAGCGGGGGTGGGGGGATTAGATAGAAAGGAGATAAAAGAAGGGGGTAGGGGATAAAAGAAGTTGCCAGAATCTGACACAAAATATTTCACGCAAAAACAAAGCTGACATTCATTTGTCAGAATGAAAAAGGGAAAGAATTTCTATCTGACCTGACTGGTATAGAAACACTGGGGAACAGAAATTAACACCATCAAGAGCCTCTTGACCAGAGCCTTGGGCTCAACTCTGCTTGTGTTTTGCCTCACCAAAATTCCTTGCTAAAAGCCCACAGTGAGCAAATCATAAAAAGGAAAAAAACAGACGTTAAACTGAAAGCACCTAATTCTTTATCTGAATTTTATTCTCCCCTGCAGGCCACAGAGAGTTCACATTTTAAAACTTCCTGAGCATACAGCCCCTTGGGTCTTGGGACAGTCAAATTCTTCTTGGTCTGTCTGGGTTGGGGTAGACACTTTGCCACTCTAGCAAGCTCCTTATGTTGCCAATGCGACAAGCCAATGAATTGCACTGCGAACAGCAAGAATTGGGACCATCAGAATCCTTCTTCTACAGAATTTAGAAGTGGAAAAGAATCTGCCTTTACCCTAGCCCTCACCCCCCAAAAAGAAAGAAAATTTCATTTGTTCATTGAGTGAATATATATTAACATCCCATGTGAGGCTGGCACAAGACAGTCCCAACCCATGGAGAAGCAGAGGATTATGGTCCCAAAAATCTATGACATCTTCACTCCTGTCCACAACTCTACCAGGCATGCCCCCCTACCTGTTCTGATGGTGCCAATGGATCAGCATTGTGCCGTCCTTTTGTTGGGTATGACCTTCCAGGAGAATCCTCTCCCCTACCCGCAAAGGCCTCATGATTGCAAGGGAAGTTCTACCATACCTTCATCCTTCCTGGCCACCATTACCCCTCGTCTACCTCGCCTGCTCCAGAGACACCCCAAGGAACAGATGTACCCAATTTGAAATGGGGCAGTTCTTACACAGCCCCCTCTGGGGTAGCAAGGTCATCTACTTTAAGTGGAAACAGGAAGGGCAAAGTCTTGGGTCAGAGAAGGAGGAGCCTGCTCCAGTAGAAAGAGGACATCAGGAAGGATGGGCCCTCAACAGCCTGATCAATTCAGTAGGAAAACTGACAGCACTGGTTCCTGCTTCCCAAGTATGCTTCTTCTTCTTTTGACCAAGTAGTTGGACCCTTGACGGAAAGACATTTCAGAAGCATGTCTTGATCTCTGATGGTTTGGGCTAAAAATTTAGACTGAAACTACCAGAGGCCTCTCTTATCCTGTTGGCATCTGAGTGCCCAAAAAGATGATACTGGAAATGCCTGAGATTTACTAGAAATTATACTAGAAATGCCTGTGATCGTAGAAATTCTACTGGAAACTCTAGAGATCATTGTGGGAGAGCCTGCCCTGGACCAGCCTGTCTGGATGGGGGTGGGATGCTTCCAACCAGAGGGTGACAGATTTTCTGGACATAGTGAAAGTCAGATGTAGAGGGAGAGGAAAGAGGAGCAGGTCAAGCAACCCTACATGACACTGGCCCAAGGACCTGATGACACCCCAGTGGGCTAGCTGTGAGGGACACCAGGCACAGCAGCCCTGCGGCCAGAGCAGGTGTGGGCATGGTCCCAGCCATCAGAGGCATCCTGGGGGCTGCACAGGAGTTGCTCAATCAACAATGGGGAAAGCACTTTGAGCAGAGTGTTAGGGTCTCTCCCCCGCTGGCTGGCCAGTTTCTTGGGATCAGGCTACTGAGTGGACAAGTCATGAAGCCCCATCTTGTGCGCCTGCTGAGGCACACAAGCCCTGAGCACAGGTGTTTATGCACCTACAGAAATGCCAGAGCCTCCCTCTCCCTGAAATTTTCTCCTTTATAGCCTCCCTTCTCCTGTTCCCCATTGTTACTCAACAGTCATTAGCACACCACCTTGCTGCCTGCTATACCACAAATCTGGCAATCAAGTAATATTCTTTCTTTGTAAGATAGGGTTTTTATGTCTGGCCTCTGGTTATTGTGGACTCCAGCAAGTATATTTTAAGTCAGTCTGTATCCTAACCCTTGTATACAGTCAGACATAGGATCAATGAAGGGTCAGCACATTGGCCTGCTGCCATTTTATAGATGCTGGTAGAAGCCACAAAATCTGAGTCAAAGATGCAGAGCCACTTATTACTCAGCAATGGCAGCAGCCATGGGATAGCATTTCCACACTGGTCCCATGATGCTGATTCCCAGGGCAACACAGAATACACTGCAGTGACTCCTATATGTGCACTGGGCAAGGTTCTAGGAGCAGACCCCTGAGCTTAAGGGACCTAATTCTTTTATAATAGTCAATAAGCAGTGGAACCTGAAGGTGGCACCTGATGAGAGGTTCTTAGGGGACAGTGGCATACTGGCCACTTCCTCTTCCCCCTTTTTTCACCCTCCCTGGTGATGAAGTAAGAGGTTTTGTTCCATCACCTGCTTCCACCATAATGTGTTTCCTCACCATGGGACCAAAAGCAATGAGGTCACCAAACCATGGACTGAAACTTCTCAAATCATACAGGTTTTCTTTTTATAAGTTGATTACATCAGGCATTTGTTATAGTGATGGAAAGCTGATGAACACAATCTCTTCACACATTATGTATCTCAGCTCAACTTTGCTTCTGGGCTCAACTACATTTGCATTAATTTCTTTAGCAGAGAATGAGGGGCTTCCATTCCTCCATTGCTGGAGTGAAATAAATATTGAGGTTCAGTTGTTCTAAATTTCTTTGCACCTCTAACTTCTTTCCTCGGGTTGGGGATGGGGACTGCTGGTAGTTTGGAGCTCAAGTTTTCCTGACTGACCGTTTGTGGACTCCGGACTCTAGAAGATCAGGAACCACACATATCACACAAGGGAAGGCCATTCCCAGCACAAGACTTGTGTAAATAAAGGGAGAGTCCATCTTCCTGAGAGAAATTATTTTTCCTGGGTTTTTTTTTCTCTTTAATCAGCATTGGGGAAAATGTGACAATATCTCTTCCTGGAACAGAGGGCACTGGAGAGGAATGGTGGGAGAGGAAGCAGGAAGAGAAGAAGGAGAAGGAATGGATAGTGGCTGTGGCAGAGGCAAGTGTGAGGCATGGGGCCAGGAGAGGGCCTGGGGACAGTTCTGTCATCCCCATGGGCCCTGGGCTGCTTTGACAGGAACACGCAGGAACCTAGGCAGGGTCTTCGGCCGCTCACAGGTTGATGACAGTCAGGGTCTCCTCCTTGGAGGTGGAAGGGGTCACTGGATTCACCCTCAGAAGCTTCTGGTTTGACTCTTTCTCATCCTGAAAAAAGAGGAGGGGCACCAATGGGAGAGAAAGAATGAGAGAAGAGTTTGCTTCCCAGAACCCGAAACCAGGAGAGGAAAGAAGGAGGGAAAGGGAAAGATGATGGAAATAGAGCTCCAGGGAAAAAAGGCAAGGTGACAGGGAAAGGGGACTTAGACAAGTGTCTCAGTCAGCGTGAAGGAGAGAGCAGGGAATTAGAGGAAAGGAAGCCGTGGTGAGACCCAGGGCAGGCCACGTCATGGAGCCACATCGCCAGCATCCCTGAGAGCAGCCCGGCCTGACTTCTGAGAAGCTCCTGGCTCCAGGGCTCCTCCCTATTCTCACACTTTTTTCCTGCCCAGACCCACGCTCTCCCACACACCTCCCTGACAACTCACTAGGAACTCAGAGCTTCGGCCACGCATGCTTCGAAGATGCAGTCCCAGGGAAGCCAAAGACACGATGACATTCAGAATACAGACAACTGTGAGCAGGATACAGAATCCCAGGAAGAGGTGCTGGAGATAAAGGAGGAGAAAAGACACAGTCAGGAGTCAGCTCCTCCGAGTCTGCTCATGCTGCGCGTGCCTACTTTGGGCCATAAAGTGATACTATGCCTGGGGCAGGGCAGCCCTGTCTGGCCTGGCAGCTTCCCATTCTTACCTGTTCAAATGCTCATGATGCCCCTCCCACCTTGTGGCCACGCCAACAGAATCCTGAGCCACATGGAGAAGCTATTGTAATCTGAGAAATGCCTGCTGTTTTTAAGTTAAAATGTCCTAAACAAAGAGCTAGGGCAAGCGCAAGGACCCGACACCTCTGCCCTCCAGTGCCCCAATTCCTTGGAAGAAAAGGGATATGAGGGGTCCCAGGAAGACTGGACTTTTCTTTCTCACCAGGGTCATTTTCATCAATGTTCTACAATTCTCTGTCCTCCAGTCTGAGTTGTTATTCCTCCATCTGTAATTAGTGGTTGTGGTGACAGGGACTAGCCTATCACACACGGAGTTGAACTTCTTATAGTTTAAGTCATCTGTTTGCCAGATTAAGGTCCTCACACAGAAAACAATGGCAGCCACAGTGGCAGCAATGCCAGCCAGGGTGAGCAGCCCTGACACACAGCCCTAGAAGAGAGAGATTCAAGATGCAGGTTCCATTCCTCAGTGGCAGAGCCATGTGGGTGCCGCCCTCAAATCTGTCTCTTCTTTCCCAGCTCCTGTTGCTGAAAACCCTCACAACCCTCCAGGAAAGATCTGAAGATATTGGGAACTAAAGAGTAGAAGACAGAAGATTGAGTGGAAAAACTAGATACAGGAGGGATTTGAAAGACAAGGTCAGGGAGAGAGGATGCCCAAGACTCACTGAAAGTTTGCCCCTGTGTTTCTCATGGACAATGGCCCCAGCTCCTGCTGCAATTGCCTGGAAAGAGAATTCACCAAAAAAGTGATTTGCTCTCCTAATTGATCTCCCATCACCCTTCTAGCCATAGCTCCTATATGAGCCAAATGGAAGTAGGACTCAAGAGACTAGCAAAGAAACTTCACGTATGGACAGAACTCCAGTCATACTGCCCCATCCTCTGGAACCTTGTGAAAGAAGAAATAGACAGGATAGGGTTTGGCCCAGGCCCAGGGTGGCTACCTCATGGAATAGGGAGCATGTGGACTCTGGGATTTTGGTGCCCCCTCCCAAGCATCTACCTACAACCAAAGGAACTTTTTGCTTGCCCATTACCACCTGCCTCCCACTGAGCTCCCAGCCCATTCCTTACTCACCACAGACCCTGCCCAGAAGGCACAGCCCAAGACTCGCAGCTCAGTCCTGGGCCCAAAGTAGAGACTCACTCCAAGAGCACAGCTTACAACCCCCAGCAGTATCTGCTTCACCTTCGAGATAGGATGAAAATCAATAGCCCAGCTCCTACCTCTTTGGCTCTTCCCCTGCCCTCACCTTCCTGCAGCTCTGATTCCAGAAGGCTCTGTTTCCTTACTATCCACTGAGCTGCGCTGGCCTGGTTCTCCCTTTATCCCTCTTACACACCTGGCTGTTTATCCTTTGTTATTTTTTCCTAAAAGAAATAATTTATGATGATCCCACCAGAGAGTTCCCATTTTTTTCTCCTCACCTTCCCTTAGGAATCTCGTCATTTTGTGCCAATCCTCCGTCTACCCTCAGCTTCTGACTCTGATATATCTCTTCAGGTTCAAATAGATAATTCTGAGGGCTCTGTAATGGACACAACAATGTGCCATTGGCACCCCCCCCCCTTTCCAGCAAAGGCTCCCCCTCGTCTTTCAGCTGAGAAAAGACGTGATGGTCCCCAAGCCACTGACTGAGCAAGGCTGTGGCTCAAGGGTCACAGCCTCCTATTGTGGAACTGTGGTAATGGACAGTCTGTCAGGGACCCCCAGCCCTATCCTGCCCCCTTTTTTTTCATCTCACATGTGTTGCCCCTTGATAAACCATTTGCACCCCTAACTTTGACTCAGTGTCTGCCTCCTGGAAAACTCTCCTCACATAGGCTCCTGGATATCATCTGAGATTCGTCATTGTTAAGTCCCCTTTCCCATCTCCCAGGGCTCCAATCTCCTGGTCATCCACACTCCAAACCTCTACTGTTATTGGGTTTATCTCTTCTCTCATACTCCAAACCCGTTCACTTCCAAGTCATGGAGATGTCATAAACAAAGGATTTTGACTCCTGCTTTCCCTTACCACTTCAGCTCTGTCAACACACGCGCAGACCTTTCACATTTCCCATCTGGACACCTCCAGCTCTGAAGCAGCCGGAGCCCAGCTGCCTGCTTGGAACCCATGCCCTTCTGCCACAGACGCTGACTCGGGACAGACTCCTCCAAGGCTTCCTTACTCGGCCCTGAGCTGAACTCTCTTTACTCCGTACTGTCACAAACTTGCCTGATGCTCTCCAGCCTCTTTCCCTTCTCTCCTGCCACTTCTGTGACCTGCAGTTGCTTTTCTTTCATCCCCAACCACTGTCTGCCTAAATCCGCTCCTTCACCAGGGTCCGTCTCAAACACCAGCTTCTGCCTACCAGCATGTCAGGTGCGATTCTTGCTTCTTTGTATCACCTGATCTACCCTGGATTCTGCTCATTCTGTGTTACCATTTCGGATGGAAATGGAACGCTTTTCAGGGTGGTCTGACCAGCAGGGCCTAGCACATTGCCTTGCACCACAGCCTCGGTCTCCATGGGCTCAGCCAAACCTTTTTTTAAAATTATTCCTAAGTTCTTTTATTGGTACATTTTAGGTATACAGTACTTTTACCTTTATCATTGGGATCTTGTACCTGTACATGATGCATCTTGGTTCTTCTTTTTTCCCCATTCCCTGTGCGCCCTTCACCTCCTCCACCCTTCCCTATTTACATAGACTTCATTTCCATTTTTTTTCTTTTCTCATAATTTTTCCTTTCCCTTCTTTCCTTTCCCCTTCCTTCCCATCACCCCTATACCTTTGGACCTTTTAACTAACAGAGATTCTTCCTCCTGCTCCCCCGTGTTTGCCAGGCACTGTACCCTCTGCACCAAAGAGGTTGATCATTCCTTTCCATCCAAGTTCTGCAGGCAAAGTTCCAAAATTTTTCCCCAAATATGATGTCAATCCTTGCGGAGACTCCACCCACTTTCCTTTATGCATCCTATTGAAGAAGGCGATATGTAGGAAAACTGAAGTACTTTGAGAACATAATGTTAAGTGAAATAAGTCAGATACATGAGCTTCGATACCATGTGATTTCTCTTATTTGAGAAACCCAGAGTATAAATAAATTAAAGAGCAAAATAGATGACTATAAGAAACAGGGAGATCGATGTTTTGCAAATGGGAAGGAGACCAAGTGATGGAGGGATGGAGGTGGAAGAGAAAGGGAAGAGGCCATAAAAAGAATTAAAATGTGTTATGTGCTTGCACTGGCTCCCCGTGATGAATGTGATCATTATGTAATGTAAACATGTGCTAATAAAGATCAAATGATTTTACATTTCTTTTAAATGAAAAGAAGGGTTCCTTTTCCCCACAGCCCCTCGAGCATTTGTTATTGGGTGATTTCTTGATAGCAGCCACTCTTTCTGGAGGGAGACGGAATCTCAGAGTTGTTTTAATTTGATCTCTCAAATGACAGTGATGTTGAACATTTTTTCATATATTTATTTGTTGTTTCTGCTTCTTCATCTGAGAAATGTCTGTTCATTTCAGATGCTCATTTTTGAATTAGGTCTTTAAATTTGAGGGTTCTGATTTTTTTTCAGTTCTTTATATATTCTGAGGAATAGCTGGCAAAAATTTTTCCCATGCTATGGGTTGTCTCTTCACTCTGTTGGTGGTTTTTCTTGCTGTACAAATGCTTTTTCATAAGATGAGATCCCAGGGCTGGGGATTTAGCTCAGTGGAGCTGTGCCTGCCTCACAAGCACAAGATTCTGAGTTCGATCCCCAGTACCAAAAAACCCCCACTAAAACTAGAGGCTCCATTTGACCCAGCTATTCCCTTTCTTGGTATCTTCCCAAAAGAATGAAAAGCATCATACCACAGTGATATATGCACACCCATGTTTATAGCGGCACAGTTTGCAATAGCTAAATCTTGGAAACAGCCCAAGTGCCCATCAACTGACAAATGGATAAAGAAGATGTAGGGTTTTTTCTACAATGGAGTACTACTCTGCCATAAAGAAGGATGAGCTTGAGACATTTCTAGCTAAATGAACCTTGAGACCATACTCTTAAGTGAAATAAATCAGACACACATGTTTAAATACCACATCGTTTCTCTGGTGTGAGAAGCTGAAAGTAGAAATAAGGACTAAATATATATAATAGATATTGGGAAATGGGAAAAAACTGTTCAAATGGGAAGAGGAACAGGGAAAGGGGGAGGGAGAAAGGAAGGAAGGGATAATAAAAAAGTGAAAATAGATGGAAAAAATGGAAACAAAGCTTTTGTATATTGGGAGGGGAGGGGGGCTTGAGTGAAGGGGGAATGGGAAAAAAAGAGGCGGGATGCATCATGTACAGGTGCGATATATCCCCTATAATGAGTGTTACCATTATGTGTGTCTAAAATGTACCATAAATGTTTTGCTATAAAAAAAATAAAGAAGAAAAGAAGAGAAGGGTTCTGCTCTCTGTGTCACCTCATTAACTGCCCCCCAACCACCACCAGCCCACTCTTACCCCTAGAGCCAGCTGCTCATTGCTTGTCCTGGCCTTGGAAGGCCCAGAGTCCCGAGGGTGAGAAAGCAACTGCTTCAGGGATCCCACTGCCTTCAGCAGCTGTGTCAGAGCTGACTCCCGGTGGATGTGGATGTTGATGTGCGTGGGCTGGGGCGGCAGAGAGGCCACACTGACTCCGTTCACAGTCACCATGTTTTGGGTCATCCTGCCTGCAGGGGAGAAGATGGACAGAGTTAATGAAGTCTGGGAAGCAGGTAAGGTGAGAAGGAGTACCACAGGGCTGAGGGGGGAGACAGTCTCCTTGGCGTGGTCCAAGGGGTCTTCCCAGTGCAGACATCCATGGCACAATGACCCTAATTCATAATGCAAATCCAGATTCCATCTAGAGCTTTTCACCTCATGAGTTCTTGGATGCCTTCCCAGAATGATGTGATACAGTCTGTCTAGGGTCCAAAGTGGGACGAAGAAAGGAATCTGAGTTATTTTAATGAATATATACATACATATATATACACACACACACATTCCTCCCGTCTGCCAAAAAAATACATACATCAAGAAAAGAAAAACTTGCATTAATACTTTAATACTAAATTTATTGAGACATCACGAGATTAATGCAAGTTACCTTTGGCCTCTACAATTACAAGAGATGCTCAAAGTGGTGGCCATGAGCTTCCAGACATTTATTAGTATGGTGAACTGCTGAAGTATGGATACATTTTCTGGTGAACTCTGTATATATATTGGACATAATTCTCTCACTAGTAAAAAAAGTTCAGAAGATATTAAGGGACACTGATACCATCAATTTCTTACATATCCTCCTAATGACACTTCTGCATACTCAAGATTGCTTCTTACCCACCTTTCCCCTCAAATGGCAGCACACCACACGTGCTGCTCTGCACAATGCTATGGTCACAGAAACACTTGTTCCAAGAATTAACCCAGCATCAGTCCGTGAAAAGCTTCTTTATTCATGTGTGTAACTGCATTTTTCCCAGTACACAAATCTATCATAATTTATTTAATTGATCCCCATTTAGCGAATTTAGGCAATTTTAGGCAATACGATGCTCCATTTTAAATGCTTATCTCAGTAAGTTTTGACAAATGTATACCTTTATGCAACTACAGTTACAATCAAGATACAGAATATTTGCCAAAGGGCTCATCACTGTGAATCCCCCAACTGGCCATAGGTAACTATTGATCTGCCTGCTGTAACTAGTTCAGCATAGTTTCAATCCGGAGTTCTCTCACTATGAGTGAAGTCAATCATCTTTTCACATGTTAAAAGCCATTTTTATTTCTATTTTCTTTTTCAAGCTCTTCTTTCATATCCTATGTCCTTCCTGTTTTATTTTGTTCTTCATAGAAGTGCTTCATATAGTCAAAAAATTACCATCTATGACATGAGTTCTGAATATTTCTTTACAACTGTGATTTATATTTTGACTTTGCTTGCATGTTTGCAGTTTTTATTTTAAGAAGTATAGTTTAGGTTTAGAAAAGTTTTCTCTTGTTTACGCTAGAAAGATTTTATTTCCCACTCTAAAAGGACTTCACCACTTCAAGATTATAACAATTCACCCTTGTTTTCTTCTACATGGTTTCAGGCTTTCTGTTTTCATTTTTAATATTGATCCTCTGGAATTCCTGTCGTAATCCAGAAGATATGGATCCAAGTTGCTGTAGTTGTTCAGAGAGCGAATTTCTGCAAGGTCACTTCCATTTGTGACGGATGTCTTCTTTCACTGATTTAAATGCTCTCCTGAGCAAACAGAAAGCTCCCACAGGAATTCAAGTCTACTCTAGTCTTTGTATTCAGCCCATTGGTATGTCTGTGAGGAGTGATGCACCAGTACTACGATTTTGGTTAGTGTTGAATTTAATATCTAACTGGGCTGCTTCTTGACTCCCTTGTGTTTTTTTTCAAAATTGCTATGGCCATTTTTAGTAGATTACTTCTCCATGTACACTTGAGAATCAATTTACCCGGCTCCAACAGACATACTGCAGGGACAATTCTAATGTGCATCCTGCCTAACTATCACTGTTGAAATCCAATATTAATAACCGTTCTAATAGCATCTCCCCTTTGCCCTCTGCCTACCTTTCAGAGCAATCTAGCTCTTTCACATACCTGGCCTCCTTTGAGTTCGAAGGTCAGGTTTTTGACAAGTCTGCAGGAGATTCAGACTCAATGGGCCCAGTGAAGGGGCACCAGGCCCAAATTCCCAATCTTCCCTGGGGGGCCCAGGAGCCATCTGAAAGGTAGGGTCTTCCAGGGGTGTACTTTGGGCCCCAGCTCCCCCAGACCCCTTTGGCCACAACACTTCCCTTCCTCCACTCCAGCCCTGTGGCTCCCAAGGGCAGGGCCTGAAACCAAGGGCAGTCCTTCCCTGCCTCCACTCTATTCCAGCTGGCAGGCTCAGGCCTGCTGTCCTCACACTGCTTTGTTCCTCCTCCCAGGGCTGGAGCTGGAGAAAGAGGGCTCCTGTCGGCCCAAGCCACAGCCATGCTACCTCAGGGCTCTGTCCCAGAGGAGCCCCATCCATCCCCACCCAGAGTGGAGGCTAGGGAAGCCAGGCTAAGCCTCCTCCGAACCCCAACCTTCCTTCTACAGTCGCATCCTCTATCCAGCCCATTCCTCCTTCACTAGAGTCTTACAGGAGAGCAAAATGGAGGAAGAGGGGCATCCCGTACCCAGAAGGGCATAGGCTTAGAGACTGGGGTCCACGCTCAGAGACACCAGGGAAAGGGCCTCCTGGGTGCTGGGGCTCTGCCTCACCTGCTGTCCTCGGGAGCCAGAGCAGAGCAGGACTGAGAGGAGCTGACTTGGAGCCAAGTGCTGGCAGCCTGAAGGGAGGAGAGCAGGGAGAAGGGATGGTGAGAAGAGGTGCGGCTGGGCCTCAGCATTTCCCAGCAGACAGCTAGGACGAAGGGGCCTCTCTAGGGGGTTCCATGGTGAGCAGACGGTCAGGCCAGCTCATGAGTGTGTGTGTGCACACTCACACATACTCACTCACATCCACTCAGGCAACATGCACTGACAGCACAGACCCACACTTGTTAGGAAAGCCCTGGCCAGTCGATTGTATGCCTGACACCCCCACAGTCCAACCTCCTCCTTCCTCTCTCCAGTTCCCCAGGACCCAGGGCTCCCCTATGGCTGTAAAGCCCTAGAGGAACCCCTGTGTCCCAGCTGTTTTATGAGGAGAGTGAAAGTCTGGTCATTCATCAACCTCCCTTCCTTCTGCCTCTCAGCTTCCTCTTCTAGCCAGGCTGCTCTCTCTCTGCCAGGTTCTCCTCACTCCTCTGGCCCTCCCTGAAGAGCAGGTGAGGCAGCCCCTTCCCAGGAACCTCCTTGCCCCTCATAGCTGCCAACAGAAGCTCTATAGGCAGCCAGGGGGCTGTGGGAGGGAGTCAGGTTCTGGGGTCACAGGGCTCTGGAGAGGAGACAAGAGAGGTTGGGATCAGTGGTGAGGGTGGAGAGGGGATGCGTGTGGGCACTGCTCAACCCAGACACTAGGGCCTGAGAGGACCAAGAGGGGCACAAAGCAGACCTGGGCTGATAAGGGAGCCCTATCGGGGACAGGCAGCCCTGCACCCTTCAAAGGGAGCAGCTCTGGAACCAGGAGCAGATGCTGTGTCTCTGAGTCCCACAGCCCCTGTATCCCCAACTCTGATGAACTTGTGTCCACCTCACCTCCCTAGTCCTCCCTTGCCCTCCCTCAGACAGACACCCATGGACGCGGGGACTGCTGACAGCAGCAAGGTGGCCTCTGAGGCCCCACAGCCTACCCACATCAATGTGCACATCCACGAGGAGTCAGCGCTGGCCCAGCTCCTGCTGACCGGATGCTCCCTGCTACGGATCCCAGCCACAGCCACAGCCACCAGTGCCACCACCCAGACCCTGGGCAGCAGCCGACTGCTGGTGGCTTCTTGGGTGAGGGGGCTGCTTGCCTCATGGGACCAGGGAGGGACACCTCATTCCTTATGTCAGGCCATGAGAGGCTTCTCGTCTTGCAGGCCACATACGCTCCACAAGCCTCTCCAAATAGAACAGTGACTCAGTGTTATCTTCTTATTAGAAATTGGTCTTTGCTGCCTTCTCAGTGCCTGCTGAAGAAGGGCAGCCTCTGGGCTAAAGGGCCAAAAAAGCTTTCTCTCTCTCTTTCTCTCTCTCTCTCTCTCTCTCTCTCTCTCTCTCTCTCTCTCTCTCTCTCTTTCTCTTC